CAAAGTATTCATGGGTTAAATATATACTATACTTGAACATAAAAACATTACTGTTTCATCAGCATTACTTTAATAAAAATCCTCTAAAATGAATACAAAAAACTAACATTAACTATATTAATATGAACACTTCCCAAGCATAAGTACAATTTGCTTATTATATTTACGGAGAAGCACTAAACCCATAGGAGTCGTACAGTACCTGAGAAATGGGAGGTAACCAGGTTCAACTTAAGGGGAGGATAAGACCAATTCCTTGCATCAAGAGCCTCTCACCAGCACCAAGGAACCTCCCTTTAGGAGATTAATTAATGTGTACCAAATCACAGTGGTATACATATTACATAACTATTATCACATTACATTTTATGGGAGACATCCTGTGTGTGCATGATCATTCGTTCATTAACTCCCTCTCTCTCGCTCTCCCTCTCTCTCCCTCTCCCTCTCTCTCCCTCTCCCTCTCTCTCCCTCCTCTCCCTCCTCCCGTCCTCCCTCGCCCTCCTCCCTCTCCCTCTCCCTCGCTCCCTCTCCTCGCTTTCTCCCTCTCCTCTCGTCTCTCCCTCTCTCTGTTTCCCTCTCTCTCTCGTTTCTCCTCTCTCTCTCGTTTCTCCTCTCTCTCTCTCGTTTCTCCTCTCTCTCTCTCGTTTCTCCCTCTCTCTCTCTCGTTTCTCCCTCTTCTCTCTCTCGTTTCTCTCCTCTCTCTCTCTCGTTTCTCCCTCTCTCTCTCTCTCGTTTTCTCTCCCTCTCTCTCTCCTCGTTCTCCCTCTCTCTCTCTCTCGTTTCTCCTCTCTCTCTCGTTTCTCGTTTTCCCTCTCTCTCTCTCTCGTTTCTCCCTCTCTCTCTCTCTCGTTTCTCCCTCTCTCTCTCTCTCGTTTCTCCCTCTCTCTCTCTCTCGTTTCTCCCTCTCTCTCTCTCTCGTTCTCTCCCTCTCTCTCTCTCTCGTTTCTCCCTCTCTCTCTCTCTCTCGTTTTCTCCCTCTCTCTCTCTCTCGTTTCTCCCTCTCTCTCTCTCTCGTTTCTCCCTCTCTCTCTCTCTCGTTTTCTCCCTCTCTCTCTCTCTCGTTTCTCTCCTCTCTCCTCTCGTTTCTCCCCTCTCTCTCTTTCTCCCTCTCTCTCTCTCTCGTTTCTCCCTCTCTCTGTTTCTCCTCTCTCTCGTTTCTCCTTCTCTCTTCCTCTCTCGTTCTCCTCTCTCTCTCGTTTCTCCCTCTCTCTCTCTCTCGTTTCTCCCTCTCTCTCTCTCTCGTTTCTCCCTCTCTCTCTCGTTTCTCTCTCTCTCGTTTCTCCCTCTCTCTCTCTCTCGTTTCTCCTCTCTCTCTCTTCTCTCTCTCTTTCTCTCTTCTCTTCTCTCTCTTCTCTCTCTGTTTCTCCCTCTCTCTCTCTTCGTTTCCTTCTCTCTCTCTCGTTTCTCCCTCTCTCTCTCTCTCTTTCTCCCTCTCTCTCTCTCTCGTTTCTCCCTCTCTCTCTCTCTGTTTCTCCCTCTCCTCTCTCGTTTCTCCCTCTCTCTCTCTTTCTCTCTCTCTCTCATTTCTCTCTCTCTCTCTCATTTCTCTCTCTCTCATTCTCTCTCTCTCTTCATTTCTCTCTCTCTCATTTCTCTCTCTCTCATTTCTCTTCTCATTTCTCTCTCTCTCATTTTCTCTCTCTCATTTCTCTCTCTCTCATTTCTCTCTCTCTCATTTCTCTCTCTCTCATTTCTCTCTCTCTCATTTCTCTCTCTCTCATTTCTCTCTCTCTCATTTCTCTCTCTCTCATTTCTCTCTCTCGTTCTCTTTCTCTCTCTCATTCTCTTTCTCTCTCTCATTCTCTTTCTCTCTCTCATTCTCTTTCTCTCTCTCATTCTCTCTCTCTCTCTCCCCCTCCAAGGAAGGGGTAAGAAGATAAATTTCTACACATAAATACGTATATACAGTATTTAATTCTTTGCTCAACTTGAGAACTTTCCCTCAATGAAGGGTTAGCCATTTGTAGAAGTTTCCCAAGAAACACAAATGTTTCAAAAATGTTAGGTTTAAAAGTAGTATCTAAAACATTTGTATGTCACTCCTATTATTGAGTTTATATACTTCATATAATGTTTAACCGTTTGATTGTTACGGTCATATATATACGTCTTACGAGCCACCGTATTTGACGTATTTTTTCTTTCTTCAACAAGTCAGCCGTCTCCCACCAAGGCAGGGTGACCCAAAGAGAAAGAAAATCCCCAAGAAGAAAATACTTTCATCATCATTCAACACTTTCACCTCACTCACACAATCATTGTTTTTGCAGAGGTACTCAGAATACAACAGTTTAGAAGTATATACATATAAAAATACACAATATATCTCTCCAAACTGCCAATATCCCAAACCCTTCCTTTAGAGTGCAGGCATTGTACTTCCCATTTCCAGGACTCAAGTAGGGTTACATAAAATAACCAGTTTCCCTGAATCCCTTCACTAGATATTACCCTGCTCACACTCCAACAGATCGTCAGGTCCCAAATACCATTTGTCTCCATTCACTCCTATCTAACACGCTCATGCACATTTGCTGGAAGTCCAAACTCCTCTCCCACAACACCTCCTTTACCTCCTCCCTCCAACCTTTTCGAGGATGACCGCTACCCCGCCTTCCTTCCCCTACAGATTTATACGCTCTCCATGTCATTCTAGTTTGATCCATTCTCTCTAAATGACCAAACCACCTCAACAAACCCTCTTCAGACCTCTGACTAATACTTTAACTCCACACCTTCTAATTTCCACACTCCGAATTTTCTGCATAATATTTACACCACACATTGCTCTTAGACAGGACATCTCCACTGCCTCCAACCACCTCCTTGCTGCAGCATTTACAACCCAAGCTTCACACCCATATAAGAGTGTTGGTACTATTATACATTCATATATTCCCTTCTTTGCCTCCATAGATAACATTTTTTGCCTCCACATATACCTCAATGCACCACTCACATATATATACTCAAATTCTAGCGGCTTCAAATCAAGCAGGAGAAAGCTGGTAGGCCCACATGTAAGAGAATGGGTCTCTGTGGTCAGTGTGCACCATATAAAAAAATCCTGCAGCACGCAGTGCATGAGAAAAAAAAAAAACTACCGTTTTTTTAATTAAAATTCCAAATTTGTGCTCTATTTTCGTATGTTATTTATGGTTGTATTCTCGTTCTCTTGGTCTCATTTGATAGAATGGAAAACATATAGAAATAGAGGTGATTTTGATTGGTTTTACTATGAAAAGAACCTTGAAATGGAGCTCAAAGTAGGGGAAATGTTCGATTTTTGCCTATGTTCAAAAGTAAACAAATGATGTCATTTTCCAATAAATGTCCAAGTAGGCATTCTAATATGCAGCCATGAATGGGTTGACATTATTTATACAATTATTACAATATTGCAGTAGTCTGCATAACAGTAAATCTTCTATTTTTTTGTTTGAATAAAAATTCAAAATAGAAAGCAAGAGTAATATGAGAGGGGCCTAGAGACATGACTGATGAACAAAGAAAATGTTATTTTAGAGCCAGGACTGTCTGCATTGTTCATTCTGGACCCTATTTTGAAATTGTCATATTTTTTAATTTTCATGAAATTGGCCAAATTGCAAATTTCTGACCATGTTATTGGGTAATTGAAATCAGTAAATGGGCAGTTTCTTTTACTTGATAGAAAAAATGGAGTTCTAAAGAAATAGCTACGAGTTTGGTCAACTGGAACAATGGAATTAGCCAAAAATGGGGCTCAAAGTGGGCGAAATTGCCAATTCGTAAATATCGCCGTGGTCACTAACTTCTTGAGAACGTAATTTCGTCAGTTTTCCATCAAATTTCGTTCTTTTCATGTCATTTCAATCAGGAAAAGATTCTCTATCATTTCACAAGAAAAAATAACTTTTTTTTTTGGAAATTTTGCGACACCAGAAGACACCTCAGGATTTGGGGTTGTGACAATCAAGGGGTTAAAGAGTATTTTTTAACTGCTCAATACTATATATTCACTAAGTAAAATACAGGCATACCTTGCTTGCTTTAGAGCACTTCACTCATACAGCACTTTTCAGTTATATTCATGTATATTATTTTCGGCACTTGCCTTGCTCTTAAAACGGTTTTCAGCAATTTAAAAAAATTATTTTTAGTTTTTCTTTTAAACCTAGTGCTATTGTGCACCTAATATTGTAAATATGTTTTTGGGCTTTTATATGCACTGGAGAGTCAGTCAGTCTCTCACTCTCTCACACACACACACACACACACACACACACACACACACACACACACACACACACACACACACACACACACACACACACACACACACAAAAGGGAGGGGGGGGGAATTGTGATTCACTTTAAGGTGATATTTGCTTTACGGTGGCAGTCTAAAACCTAAACTTGATTTATTAGGGAGGTATGGCTGTATTATATTTTTTTTGGTATATTTAGTAGGCATTATATTGTTCAGTATGTGTCAAATAAGCACATGCATAAACAGTGCATATGTGCATATACGGTGCCCCATGGCCTAGTGGCTAAAGCTCTACAAGTACATGTACTTGTAGAAATAAACATACTATTATTATCAAAAGAAAAGAGGACTACTCACCATAACCTGTGTTAAATATGTAATGCTGAAAAAATATAAGTGTTTAATAACAAGATCTATTTCTACAAGTACATACATGAACAAGGTATACAGGCTTTAGCTAACCTCAATGACATACTACTACATAGAAAACCCCTTGTTATGCAGACCATTTTCAGGCAAATTAGGTCAATTTTATCACAGGATGTGACCCACACCAGTATTTCAGTCAACAGCTGGACCGAGATGTAACACTACACAAACCACCTGCCCTCATGCCCGCCCACACCACCCTCACATCCACACCAACCCTCACCATCACACTCCTACCCTCCACCCATGCCTCTTACCCACTCCTTACTCTCGGTAACCTTTTCTCACCCTATTTGTTAATGAAAAGAAACCATACTGAATGTAAAATATTTGATAATTCCTTGGAAAAAATTAACCAAAATTATGGCTTGGGAACATATTAATTCATTTTACATTATTTCATCTGGGAAAGTAGAATAAGAGTGCCGAACAATCAACCTGCAGTGAATTTTTTGACATTCATTACTATCATAAGTTGGAGCCCTACTGTAATAAAAGTAAAAAGGCAGGCCCATGAGCTATAAGTTTATCCGGGCAAACGCAGCAATATAATTACAAATTCACAACATACATAAGGATTTTAATGTAAATATGAAAAAATCTTAAGGATGGTATATATCACACTGGTCAACTGAATATTATTAGGTTATGAATCCGAGGAAAAAAAGAAAATATTTGTGTAAATACATACAGTAAAACTACATGGTCTTCAAAAAGTGATGCCACCCACGGATTACTTGTAGTGTCTGTGTTTCAAGAACATCTCATTACATTAAAGAATAAGCAGCAACCAAATCACATCCTTCAAACCCTGCATTTTCTTGGCTTTTATCACAGCATATTTAGGTTTCAAGGATTCAGTAGTGAAAGATATAGTACTGAAAGATCTACAGTACAGTATAAAAATAATTCTTATTCAGGTCTTCAATAAAAAATTAAGTCTTCCTGGATGACCTTTCACACTGTTGTAGACATTTTCTGAAAAATAATAAGAAGATATTACTATTTTGAACAATAGCTTTGCTTCTTTAATTTATTTGAGAATAAAAAATAAACAAACAAAAAATACAAAAAATTACAATTTAAAAATAAAATAAAAAGGATATTGATATTTATTTGTTTTGCCATAAATCAGCAGAAATCAATCTGAATATAAAAAAAATATACACTTACTATGCTATACAAAAGAGAATTTAGCTTAAAAAAAATTACACTAAGTTAGGCAGTGTTTCTATGTAAGTTTTGATCCAAAAATGATGTCACTGTTAATGAAAAAAAAAAACTTGCCTATCAAGCTGCAAAAATTTATTTTGGAAAAGTCCAAATTTTAAGGGAGTTCGGTCTATTGGGCAGGGTAGGGGTTGTTTTAGGAAAGGATGGAGGGAGGAGAAAAGTGGCTTTATGTGCAAGAAGTCTGGATGTCCAGCGGCATGTATGAGCGTGTTAGATAGGAGTGGAGGCAAATGGTTTTTGGGACCTGACAAGCTACTGAAATGGAATCAGTGTAACATTTTGTGAAGTAATTCAGTGGAAAATGATTAGCCAGACTTGAGTCCTGGAAATGGAAAGTACAGTGCCTGCACTCTAAAGGAGGGGTTTGGGATATGTGCTGTTTAAAAGGCCATCTAAATTGTCATATCTGTGTGCCTCTGGCAAGACAATGATAGTGTAAACGATGGTAAAGGTTTCTTTTTCAGGTCACTGTTTCAGTAGATGGCCAGCGTGTTAAAAAGAAAAACACTCGTGCACACACACATGCACTCTTAACCATTCGCTTTACTAATTTATATTGTGTATCCCATGTGGAGCTGTCAGTCTAAGCATCTTCCCATGTTCTGAGTGCATGAAAACTTTCTTCTTTAACCCTTAAACGGTCCAAATGTATATATACATTCACGCGCGTAGCGCCCCAAATTTTTTGAGAGAAAAAAAAAAATCTTTTTTGAAAGGAAAAAAGAGCATATGGTACCCAGGCATCCCCAATTATTTTAATATGGCGCACAGTGAGTGCGCACACCCATTCTCTCATGTCTAGGTGACTCAGGCTTATCGTGGCAATGTTGAAAGAATGACAAAGAAAACGTATACAGGTCTCCCTCAACATTCGTGAGGGTTAGGAGATCAAGAGCCTCGCGAATGTTGAAAAACCGTGAATGTTTGGTGCCCCAATATATTGGGGCAGTGGTATTTAATAACATTTATGTTATAAATAATAATAGTACATATTATTAATAACATGTATTATTATTAACATGCATGTATTTAATAACATATATGTTATAAATAATAATAGTACATATTATTAATAACATGTATGTTATTAAATACCATTGCCTCACTCACTGCCTCTACCACTCCAGTCACACTCAATCTACAAGCACCAAACACAATGAATTATTGTGAAATGTTTGGAAGAGCAGGGAGACTAATGTTCACTCCAGCATAAACGAAGTCACACTGACGATGTGTCAACCACTCCCTCGTATTTTTGTACAATTTCCTTCTTCAATTATATCATATTTATTATTATTATTATTATTACTATTGTTATTATTAGCTGTAGCAGAAATGTTTAATTCTTTGCAGTGTTCAAGAGTAAACACATGATGTCACCGTCTAATACCTTTCCTAATAGCCATTCCAATATGCAGTCATGAATGGGTTTACATTATTTATACTGTAGTTTAATAGCAAATAATGAACAAACAAAAACTCACCACACTGAGTGGTGGGAGGGCTGGCTGCCAGTTGCCGGGGTCGGAGGGAGGGTAGTAGGGACTCGCAGGTGGCGGGAAACTTAAATATGATTTGGCAGCTGGGAATTTGGCGGCTGGGAATTCGCGAATGTGTGAAGCCCGTGAAAGTTGAAAACGTGAATGTTGAGGGAGACCTGTATATACGTTTGGGGCGCTACGCGCGTGAACGTATATATACGTTTGGACCGTTTAAGGGTTAAGTATATCTAGTACCATAAACTAATATACATAATGTTAGACATTGAAAGAAACAAAAATGGTTATTTCTTTAGGAAAAAAAATACTACTTGGTGGCATTATGACTATGCAGCTGACAGTGCATCACTCAACTTCAACATGCTATAAAATGCCAAGTTATTTTCAAATTTCTTTGTGCTTTTTTGTCTATAGAAAAAACAGTCTTAGAGTTCTCAACATTTAACGAAGGATTTTCAGGAATGCATTAGAGTCACAAGTAGGTGATCTACTGTACTGCAGTGAGTTGCCAAATTCTATTAAAAACTAGCCTCTGCTTGAAGGCAGCAAATAAAAATAACATACCTGCAGAAAACTGACAGCTTTTTTGTCCCAGGTTCTGTATTTGAGTGCTTTAACAGAGGTGTAATCTGTAAGATAAATTTTTAATGTAAATTGTATCAATAAATATATGGACTTTCGAAAGAAAAAAAAATTACTGCTCAGATTCACTTTCAAAAATTCACAAAGAATTATGAAAGTTATGGCAAAAAGTCATAAAGGTAAATCTTTAAAAATGGTCAGTTGATAACATACATGACATACATCAAAATCTCTCCAGTATTTCAATGATGGTATGCTAAAGGGTTAAAATGTAAATATGACAACATAAGAGGTTAACCCAGAATCACATCAGATGACTAGTGAATAAAAGGTGGTGTCTAGAAACTAGATCCACCCCCAAAAATATTTACAAGGAAACACTTAAAAACAAAACAAAATTTAACACACCATCTTCATTCCTTGGGATATTCATGTTGAGAATCTTGTTTTTAGCACTGTTGGATGTGGTTGTCTCTAGTTCATCAAGAGGAACCACTGCTTCACCTATTACTTTAGTTTGGAAAAGCTGCCGAGTTTTCAAGACAAACAGAAGATGACCAGCCTTCACCCCATGATCAGCAGGACTTATGGCACTGTGAAGATGATTAAGGTGGTCATCAAATTTTAACTGAATTTAATATATACAAAATATATATATAATGCAGTTTTCTCTATATAATTACTATGTGCAGGAAAATATTAGATGTGTAATTTCTGAAATATACAAAGGAGTGTGGTAGATGGGGAAGTGGAGTGACAGGGCTGAAGTGACAGGGTGGTGAAGTGGTGAGATATTAGTGCTAAATGCACCTAATATATTCCAACTGACAACAGGACACAAACCTAATTTAACTGGCTCATTTCCATGTACCTATCATAAGGCAGATAACAGAAAAATGCTAGGTGAAGGCTCAGCCAACATGTCACTGCCATGGCAATGTGATCCATTTCAGGTGAAGCCTGGTGCACACTTCCCTCATACTACTACTGCGACAGAAAAGCAGCAATGTTATGCATATCACACAACCAGAAAGCAATACAAGTGAACAGATATATTAACATGTTGTGAGGTATCCCATTGTGCCTCTTGCCATGTTTTGAGAAATATACTTTCAAACAGTTCTAATATACATAGCAATAAAAACTTGCATACAGTATTGAATGACATAAACAATAATTAGATACAAGATAAACCATATTTGTACAGCAGATATATGGCGAATATTGATATTATGGTGCAGTGTGCTTCCCAAGCTATTTACCATATTATTAGTGTTTGAAATCAGGATATTTTCATTGCAAAGTGTGGTAATTAGTGTTAACCAGTGTATACAAAAAATATTAAAAAACTGAACTTTATTTGACTTAGAAAAACTAGAAACCAAAAGAAATAATTTTCACTTACACTTTGTTACCAAAAGTGGGTCATTTTCGGCCAGCTTCAACACAATATAAAATGGCAAATTTTTATCAGTTTACACTCATTTTAGACTTAATTCAGAAAATATGACCTCTTTCAAACTTTTTTTTTTTTTAAATCTTGCCACACAATTTTTTTTTACACATATCCCACAGTTTAAGGGTTAATATATACCACTATTATGGGCATTCATAAAGGGTCCATTATTATGGAGAAAGTGAACATGTTTAGATATTTGAGAGCAGACTTGTTGAAAGATGGGTCTATGAAAGATGAGGTGAACCACAGAACTGATTAAGGGAAAAGGGTGGGTGGTGCACTGAGGCATCTGTGGAGACAAAGATTTTTTTTTTTTTTAACACACTGGCAGTCTCCCACTGAAGCAGGGTAATCTTCTCCCATTAACATACCCCCCCCCCCCAAAAAAAAAAAATCCCAAACCCCTCCTCTAACCCATTAACTGTCCAAATATTTTCAATGCTAGTGCTCCAAATATTTTGGAAAAAAATAAATAAATAAAAGAAATTAAAGAGGGCAATCTTCTGTGTGCAATAGGACAAAAAAAAATTAGGGTCAGCAATTACTAAGACACAAGGCCATGAAGCTGGTGCTGGATGCTCACCTGACAGCAATGTGGAGTCCTGCCACTAGCAGAAGTGTTGCCGATATACCTTTTTCTCCTTTTCTTTTTTAATTTATATAATTTTTATGTTCTGATAATTACAATTTGTAATAGTTCTTGTGATTTCATAGCCAATGTTTATTCTCTGCCTGTCTCTCCCTCTTTCCCTCAACCCTCTCAGACAAGGGCATAGTCACTGGTAGGCAAAATTCCCCAGTGGAAGTAAGTCATACACAAGGTATGGGTTAGTGATGGTGGTAGTGGTGGGAACAGTAGTAGCAGCAGTGAAGAAGATTGTGTAGATGTCATCTGAACCAAGATTGTACATAAATGTTATACAATACCAACAAGATGAAGAATACACACATGTACAACATCTGGGTATCTTTATTGTAGACATCTACAATACAGACACCCAGATGTTGTACATGTGTGTATTCTTCATCTTGCTGGTACTGTATAACATTCATATCTCTATCTATCTCTATTTCTATCTCTCTCTCTCTCTCTGTCTGTGTACTCACCTAATTGTGATTGCAGGGGTCAAGACTCAGCTCCTGGCCCCACCTCTTCACTGAGTGCTACTAGGTCCTCTCTCCCTGCTCCATGAGCTTTATCATACCTCATCTTAAAGCTATGTATGGTTCCTGCCTCTACTACCTCACTTGCTAGGCTATTCCACTTCCTGACTACTCCATGACTAAAGAAATACTTCCTAACATCCCTTTGACTCATCTGGGTCTTCAGCTTCCAATTGTGACCCCTTGTTTCTGTGTCCCCTCTCTGGAACATCCTGTCTCTGTCCACCTTGTCTATTCCATGCAGTATTTTGTATGTCATTATCATGTCTCCCCTAACTCTCCTGTCCTCCAGTGTCATCAGGCCAATTTCCCTTAACCTTTCTTTGTAGGACATTCCCCTTAGCTCTGGAACTAACCTTGTCGCAAACCTTTGCACTTTCTTTAATTTCTTGATGTGCTTGATCAAGTGTGGGTTCCAAACAGGTGCTCCATACTCCAGTATGGACCTGATGTACACGGTGTACAGTGTCTTGAACGATTCCTTACTAAGGTATCGGAATGCTGTTCTCAGGTTTGCCAGGCACCCATATGCTGCAGCAGTTATCTGGTTGATGTGTGCTTCCGGAGACATGCTTGGTGTTATACTCACCCCAAGATCTCTCTCCTCGAGCAAGGTTTGCAGTCTTTGGCCACCTAGCCTATACTCCATCTGCGGTCTTCTTTACCCTTCCCCGATCTTCATGACTTTGCATTTGGCAGGGTTAAATTCAAGGAGCCAGTTGCTGGACCAGGCTTGTAGCCTGTCCAGGTCTCTTTGTAGTTCTGCCTGATCCTTAACCAATTTGATTCTCCTCAAACTTCACATCATCTGCAAACAAGGACACTTCTGAGTCTATCCCTTCTGTTTTGTCATTCACATATACCAAAAACAGCACAGGTCCTAGGACTGATCCCTGTAGAACCCCACTCATCACAGGTTCCCATTCTGACACCTCGTCACTTACCATGACTCACTGTTGCCTCCCTGTCAGATATTCTCTGATCCACTGCAGTGTTTTCCCTGTTATGTACACTTGATCCTCTAGCTTTTGCATTAACTTCTGAGAAACTGTATCAAAGGCCTTCTTGCAGTCCAAGAAAATGCAGTCTCCAACCCCCCCCTCCCTCCCCCCCCCTCTCTCTCTCTCTCATCTGTTACCCTGTCATAAAAATCCAGAAGGTTTGTGAGAAGATTTTCCTTCCCTGAAACTGTGCTGGTTGTCGATTATATGTTTCTTTCTTTTCAGGTGCTCCACCACTCTCCTCTTGATGATTTCCACGACTTTGCATACTATACACATTAGTGACACAGGTCGGTAGTTTAATGCCTCGTGTCTGTTTCCTTTTTTAAAAATTGGGACTACATTTGCCATCTTCCATACCTCAGGTAGTTGCCCAGTTTCAAGGGATGTGTTGAAGATCTTTGTTAGTGGCACACACAGTATCTCTGCTCCCTCTCTAAGGGCTCACAGAGAGATGTTGTCTGATCCCACCGCTTTTGAGGTATCAAGTTCACACAGCAGCTTATTCACCTCCTCCTCAGTTATGTGTACCTAATCCAGCAGTTGTTGGTGTAACTCCCTGTTATGAATTCCTGGAGTCCTACCTGTTTCCATTGTAAATACTTCTTTAAATCTCATGTTTAGCTCCTCACATACCTCTTGGTAGCTTCCTGTGAACTCCCCACCATCCTTCCTCACCCTGATTACCTGGTCCTTGACTGTTGTTTTCCTCCTGATGTGGCTATACAATAGCTATGTCATTTCGTATTGTTGCTGAGCCTCCTCATCTATGCACATTCATTTCTGGCTCTTCGGCTAATCTATTTTCCTGGGTCCTTTGTCTGCTGTACCTTTTCCATTCTCTAGTGCACCTAGTTTTTGCCTCCCTACACCTTTGGGTGAACCAAGGACTCATTCTGGTCTTCCCATTATTTCTGTTTCCCTTGGGAACAAACCTCTCTGCCTCCTTGCATTCTGTCACATTGTCCATTTCTTTGACTGGTTTTCCTGCCAGTTCTCTCTCCCACTGAATGTCTTCCAGGAAGTTTCTCATGCCTGTGTAGTCCCCCCCCCCCTTTTGTAGTTTGGTTTTCCCCATCCTATTCCTGCTGCTCTCTCCACTTGTAGCTCAGCTATGTAATCAAAGCACAGAACCACATGATCACTAGCTCCAAGGGGCCTTTCATGTGTGACATCATCGATGTCTGAACTACTCAAGGTGAATACAAGGTCCAGTCTTACTGTAACATCCTCACCTCCCTCTCTGGTAGTCTAACATGTGGATGCATGAGGCTTTCCAGTACCACATCCATCATCTTGGCTCTCCATGTTTTGGGACCCCCATGGGGCTCCAGGTTGTCCCAGTCAATTTCCTTGTGATTGAAATCACCCATAACTAGTAACTTTGCTCCCCCCCCCATGCAACTTCTTCTGGCCACCTCAGTGTGTCAACCATTGCTCTGTTGCTCTTGTATTCTTCTCTTGGCCTCCTGCAGTTCTGTGGTGGGTTGTACATTACTGCAATTACCACCTTATGGCCCTCAGATTGGATTGTTCCTACTAAGTAGTCCCTTTTGCACATTCCATCCATTCCTTTAATTTCTTCAAATCCCCACTGGTTTTTAATGAGCAGTGCAACTCCTCCTTCCCCTCTCCTCTATCTTTCCTGAGGATTTGATATCTGGGTGGAAAGATTGCATCTGTTATCCTAGTGAGTTTCATTTCTGAGTGCTATTGTGTCTGGGGACATCTTGATTCTTTCATGCCACTCCTCGCACTTTTCTATTCCGTCTGCATTTGTATACCAAACAACCAACTTCTTTTCTAAAACTGTGGTCTGGGGGATATGCTGGAGTTGGAGAAGTGGGAGACCTGATATGGAACTATGGGTGGTTGCTGTGAGGGTGGAGTTTGTAATGAGGTGGGTGGGGGCATTAGATATGGCATGTATGTTTTGGGTAAGAATGTTTGGTTGCATTGGGGTTGTCCT